CATTCAGGACATGACATGGCATCGTATAATAAAATACATGACAGGAAACTAGCTCTATAAATATTTTATCATATGTAAATGACACTTGTTGAATCATGAATGACTACAAAAGAATCAACTATAACATAGCAAATCAATATATACCACCCACACATGAAATACCATCACAGATAATTACAGTAAACTTATGTTGGTATCTGGTACATGTATCCAATTAAAAACAATAACAAGATCAATATTCTTCTTTAAAATACAGATGTGACGTCACCCTTTGATGTTTGAGTACCATTATTTCAAATAATCGTACGGGCAATGTGCCAAGCGTAACTTGGTAAAATATTGAACTCGAGTGACGTATTTCATTGCAAAGCACGTGCAAGTGTCTGTATTTTAAGTTGCTTAATGGTCTCGAGCTTAAGACATTGCGTAATATATTGTAAAAACATTCGGGCCTCACGGCCCTCATGTTGTTACAATATATTACTTAATGTCTCGCTCTCGACCATTAAACAATACATAAAACATATGTACCATATATGGTTTATCTGAGAAACTAGGGAGTTCTTTCGTTAAACTTTTTTTTACTAACAAATTTACACAGGCAGCACCAGCTGCCTTTAAAAAGTAGCTCTTTCTTCAACTTCTTGTTGCAGGCTTTGCGTACCCTACACAATTCATTTACCTGATATGAATACCTAAGTTTGATCAGATTAAAAGACCAGAAAACCAGAGAAAAAAAAATTATTACAATACCTGGATGTGGGGAGGGAATTGTATTATGGGGCTTTAATATATGGCCAGCTTTGAATGTTAAGTACATACATGCACAATAAATTTTGAATATTTTAAATCCGAGAAATAATCCAAAGTAGTCATAAATATTCAACTCTTAGACACAACAACAGCCTTCAAGACTTGAAATACCTCAATGAGTAATGATCTACTACTAGTACTACTGACAAAACTATGATATCCTTAGGTCAAGCAATTGTCCATTCATGAGTCAAAAGATGAGATCATAATGACTAGGGGGGATCTATCTAATCTTAATAATGAGATCACTCAAGGAGACACAGGGTTAATAATAACATAATGAACAATAGTCTTTGTACAGGGTTGTAAACGGCATAAGCGTTTTGGAGACGTTCGTGGGTTCCGAATTGTACGCATATTCAAGCCGAGATATACATGTATATAAATTTTTTTGTGATTTTGAAAAAAATTTATTGATGAGATGGTGTTTATTTGACCTGCCATATAAACAATTTTACCAAATGGCTAAAACAGTCTAAAACAATGACCAAATGTTTGTTTAGACTAGAGTGTGTAGATACATTTCTTGAACTATATAATAAACAATTCCAGCTGAGGTGTAAGGCTTATACACATTAATAATTAATGCCTTATTTATTCCTTAACTGAATATACACAAAGGAATAAATAGTTTTAGATGAAATCAGTGAGATAATATTGTAAAAATAAATATACCATAACCAAAACATATTCCCATGCCTGTTTGATTAGAATAAAATGTGAGAATGTCAATAATACATCTACAAATAGGCTTTTGATTAAAACAATAATATAGGTATGAAATGGACACAGTTAATATCAATTTGTGGAAATGGGACCCAGGAAAAGTTTTTTCTCTGTTAGCTCAAATGATGTTAATCCAATTCGTTGGTTCAAAGTGCATTATGATAATCAATGGCTTCAAGCACATACATGTACCACTTTTCTTTTATATGTTTTTTCCTCATAATGTGCTATCTGAGTAAATTGACAATTCAATGATTCAGTTAAATTTAATTACTACTAATTGACATTTAGTCAATCAATAACACATTTGTCATCATTTGAAGACAGTAAATAATAATAGGACAGTCATAGAAACAATAAAATTAATGACATAAGTAGGCTAAAATCTCCATACTGATATGTCAAGATGACAAGGCGTTCCACATGAACTAAACACTATCATACTTGTTACAAATGGCGCTGAAACGCATTATGGTACACGGTTCGTGTACCAATGGCAAAATGTTTATTTTCCCGGTAAGATCACATCAATGTTGATTTAAACAGACAAATAATTTGTGTTTTCAATTTCAAAGACTTTGGATGATATTGAGTTAGAGACTTATACTTTACTTTAAGTTGACATTTAATATTTTATATGGCTTTCGTGTTGCCATCTTTGCTGTTTCTGACTGATGTCAAACTAAAGCATGAACACCAATATGGAACCTAACTCATATTTTTTTGTGTTAATTGTCTACATTACCTAAACAACACTTTGTCATGAAATTGTTTATTGGCCTTCTGGCCCATTTAGGCCTTATTATTTACAAATATGTATTAAATAGTTTAACTGTAGCCTATTCTTGAACTTAAACAGTCATGATATTATTTACTTTAAACAATCTAAGTCTTAAAATACTTTGTGTCAACATTTACAATAAACATTAAATAAAGCCAGTTACTTTGCTGTCCTAAAGACTCAAAAGTAATGTTTTTTCATGGCCATGATGATCATTAAAAAATTGCTCATTTTCACATTAGATGTGAAATGAAATGGGGCTTTAACCTTAATGTCTTACTTTTCTGCACCAACCAGGCTAATGATGACTGACATACACCGTCCATTGTGCTATGAGAGAAATTGTCTGGACAGCTGTGCTACAGCCTACTTTTATTTCAATTTCCAACTGTCAATGGTAAACACAGGACTCAGGAAATCATTTTCAAATTTTCGGTAGATGCCATAGTAAAAACAAGGGTTAATGTTGCCTTACTAACCCTTTACCCTTTTCATCACATCATTTTAGTTCTTGGGTTTTAACCCAGTGTTTAACCCAGTACTGTTGAGGGCCGGGGTGACTCACTGAGTAAAACGCAACAAGGAGACTAATCACTGACTTTTATCCGACATGTCACACACAGGTGCCAGAATCATATTTCGTACACAACACTTTTGAATATACATTATGTAAGATTTAGATAAAGAGCTAGCCATTCTTGCTGTAATAGTTCGAAAATAGATAATGTAAAATGAATAATTTGAAAATTTCATTCAAATAACTCATTTGCGAGCGCAGATATTAGCCTCTCTGAAGGTTTGACAAGACGTGTGCAATAATTTCAACCATCGTACTGGTTGTTCGAAGCTAAGTCTCGCTCCTCCATTTTTAGCTTTGTTTTAATCTATTTAATATCAAAGAAATCCGATGCCATCAAGAGTTCATTATGGCCTGGATAAGTTAATTAATGTCTAATTAATAATTTAGAAAACATTTCAGGCCTAAAGAAAGACCTGCAATTGGCAGATTTAGCTCTTGAATAATGTATGTTTAATAAAAGTTTTATAATCTTTTGGGGCTCACGGTGGCGCTGTTTGGTGCTGGCTTACTAACTAGAGGGTCCCAGGTTTAATCCCGGTGTTGGCCAATACAGTTCCTTAAGATTTTTCAATGTGGCTTCCTCTTGTCCGTGTAGTGGTGCAGGGTGAATAGGATGAAATAAAAAGGTCACATATGTACAAGAAACCATAACAGTTGGAATTTAACAAAGACTTGACTAAAAAACAGTTGTCTGCTCAAAATTTCTTCCTAGCACAATATGTAAGCTTATGTCTGACTTCAAAAACAAACAAGTGAGATAATCATGTTCAGTAGCAAATAAATAGTCTGATACCCGGTACCACTTTTCAATCAGTTCATACTAAAGGAATGAAAACAATAGATCACCTCCTTAAATTTCTCTTTAATTTTCTTCAATATCAACTCCTTTGAGCAAACAAAATTTTTATTTGCCCATTTTCTAGGATCACTGACTGTACTTTCTAATAATACGGTTTCCCCCGAAAAAGTATAATAGGGGGATGAAACAATTCATATGTATGTAAACAATGGCTATGCAGAAACAGCATGTTTTAACAGACAAAAGTAGGATCAAAAGTAGCAACCTAGTCAATAGCATTAGCCCAAATTCTGTCAACCTGTCAAAATAATCACTAATTCTCACTATTTACACAATCAAGTCTGGTCAACTTGATTGTCTAACAACAAACAAAATGTTACTTTTCATAACTGTCGCTACCAGATGCTGTCATTATCCATACAAACAACTATAATAGAATCTTTACACCACTCACATTGCACCAGCAGTGAATTAGGTTCAGACTTTGGGAAAGGTAGGCTTATACATGTAGCTGTCAGAAAAAATTTGTTGACAGATTTTACAATTGCTTCCAAATTTCACTCAGTCAGTGTCCTGTTCTAAAATACAGGGCTGACACAGGAATTCTGTTCAAAATGTCTAGCTGTGGTGTGTATCATCCAATACCATTTTTGACAATAATTTGACATCTCATTTCATGATTTATTGTACAAAAAATAGATGCATTCAGAAGCAGATAGCTCCCCCATAGACTTGTTGTGTATTTTGAACCATACATAATATAAACCTTACATTGTAGATTTTGTATATTTCTGGCAGTTTGTGGATTATCAACAGACTTTTTTTCTTTAAGAAATGAAACAAATTGAATGAATGACATTTATGTTGGTAACACTTCATATTTACATATTTGGCACACACAATCTTATCTGATGCCATGGTATCAGTTAATCTAATTCTAAAAATCTATATTTCGTAGATTCACAAAAAAAGTATGCCAGCCACGACTCTGTCATTCTTATAATTTATAAAACAAACTGGTCCATATAGACTATATATACATACATATATATCTATATAAAGAAACCTAACATGCTGTGAAAGTAAGTATATCTAAACTTCTATACTTTGTAAGACACAACAGATGGCGACAAACTAATTATTCATATATATATGATACAGTGACAGTGTAGTAGACCTATTCAATGACAGTCTTGTTTACGTGTTCATCAACAAAACAGGTGCTCGTGTTGGTAAAAACGACGCCAAAAGACATTATTTATCTTTAAAAATATTTAGTTTTAAACGCCCAAACCACTTACCCTTATCCCCACAATCTGCACACACATTATTCCCTGGTTTTTGACTGATTTGCATCAACTTCTGTCTATTCTTCTCCGCCATGTTGCTTGGCGTATAAATGAATCACTTCCCTGTCAACGCTATATTTCTATTTTTAGTATCAAGGGAGTTTCTGTAAATGACGTCATTAAATGAGTCCCGTTAAACTTGATTGTCCAGACGCTAATCTACTGAAAAGAGCACTTGCTCGATGGAGCGGTTTTGCATGACTATAGATAACGGCAGACATCCAGGCTTTTACTAATAATCACAACATAATATTTTCGATCTCTTGTTACTGTGGTTTCTTCAATATTGCACGGATGATGATGCACATGAACCCTTTGAAATGCCTGCTGTCAAAAGTTTGTGTTAAGAGCTGGGCATGATCGAGATAAATCAAATAATTAGGTTTCTATTTTCTACTTACTCTCACATGGCGTAAATTAGTCTTCATTATTCCAGATGGTGCAAATACCCCCCCCCCCCATCCGAAAACATTTCATTATCTTTATCAAGATATAACTATGTAACCGAAACTTAAAATAGGTAAATTTTTGCGCATGTTTAATCTTGTTTTCAAAATTAAGCGTATGTAAAACAGAGAGGCATAATGTCTAGGAAGAACTAGCTGGAGCTCCTTCATAAATTCTCGAATTGTCTTTCTCTTTTGAAGATTGTTTCATATATTGATTTATAGAGATTTTTAAATGTGTTTGTGTGACAATTTGTATTGTTTTTATAATTTTTCCGATCAGATTAAAATAAATTACACCTACGAAAATCCAAATTTACATGTGTCATAGAAACAGAATAAGTCAATATCTTATGGTTATTTTAGGAGGTGGGGGCTTGGGCACCAATCTGGATGTCCCACTGACATTACAAATGTACTTTATCTGATAGTTTTGATTACAGTTTGAGTAAAATGCCCAATGTCCAATGCACCGAAGATGATCTTCATCCATTCCCTTCTTGGTCCACATCAGGATTATCAAGCCAAGATGGGGGTGGGAACTCATGAACAGAGGGATTTGCAGACCAATTTACTCCCAACACTTTTAATGTAATTAAATACTAGTATATTTATTATTGAATGTTTTAATTGGGTAAATTTTAATTTAAAGACTGGAGATTATGCATTATTTTCATTAAAACAAATCAAGCTATTCTTTACAGTAGACTGTTTCACACAAACCATTACTTGTCTGACTCCAAGAATTAATTTGCGGTACAACACATTCTCTAATAATAATTTTAAATATCAGTTTATTGCACTTTTGGTAAATATAATTCACTATGAACAATATTTGTCATACATACATTCTTTTATTTACTGGTTTCAAATAAATCAAAACTGTCTTTGACTGTTTTGTTATTATTAATTTTTCCTTGATGGTTAAAACCATTTCAGTATTTACTTATATATTACATTATGTACATAATCAATAGCAAATATATACACATTTAAACCTATGATCATATTCGTTTTTAAATTTAATCTAAAAAGAAAATACTGTTTAGATGAGTAGAGCACAATTTCTTCACTTCCTCTGAAAATAGATAAACTTAATATGTATTTAATTGTATTAAAAATATAACAACCCCTTCTTTTGCTGCATTCTCTGAAACAACCTAAATATATATCATTATTTTCCATGAATATATTGTCAATCAAGTTAGGGGGGGTTATTCTGACATCCATTTTATAAAAATCTGATTTATAACTGAAATATACTCTTCAAAAAAAGAAACGCAGGACATTTCATCATTGGTATACCCTCGCTCTACCATCGCCTCGTTTCAACAGGAACCACAACTGTTCTCCAGCGTTGCTGTGGCCATACTCTGGCTCATAATACGGTTTCACGTAGGCGTCTATGGACTGTCTGGTCTTGATCCTACCTCGTCAAGGAATTGATGCTGCAGTAGAGGTCTCTGCAAATAACGTAACCGGATGTGACGATCCAGGGCAGGTGGGGTCAATCTTGTTTGGCCTGAGCTTAGGCGGTCACGTGTTGAGCTTCATTGTCAGTACCTATCACAAAGGCGAGAAATGGTACTCTAGGAAACATTTAGTCGCCTGGCTTCATCTATCTGGTATTCACCTACTTGTAACCGACCTTTAGCATTGTTGCATTGGTCTTCATTCAGATGTGGCATCACTTGGCTCATTGAGTGTTTACATGTGCAACTGATTTTGAAACCCAGAACCCCAGGATTTTAAAGGCTTTAGATTTGGGTTTCATGTGAAAAGCTTGCAAAGTTGTTAAACTTATGTGTCTTGATGCAATCAAGCGAAAACAAATTTCGGCAAAAAGTATGACCAGTCACAATTAGTGACCCTACATTTAATACCAATAATGAATTTCTTTTATCCTTACATAATGACATCAAAAACAAGTAAGATTTATGGAAACAACGATCCCGTTCAAATAAAAAAATGATGAAAAATGGGCTGTGTGTTTCTTTTTTTGAAGAATATATAAAACTAAAGAAACAGCATTAATAGTCAATTCAGTTTTGAACATACCATTAATTTCAATTAAATTAGCATTTTTCTGGTTAATAACCACATAAAACTCTCTTTGATCAGATTTTTTCCCCACAACCCAAAAATCTGAGGCTGTTTTAACAATTGTTTCTCCATCTTCATTATTTCTAAAATAAAATAAATAAAAAAATAATAGAAACAAACAAACACTTCAATAGGACATATAACCTAAAGGAGCATTATGGGAGATTAGATAAAGAGTTGACAGTTCTAGCTATAATAGTTAAAAATAGACAAGTAAATAGAATATGCTGAAAATTTCAGTCAAATTGCTCCACTCTGAACCGAGATATGGTATCAAGAGGTGATTATGGTCTGGATAAGTTAAGTCTAATTAATAAATTAGATAACATAGATAAATTCTCAACCAGTTTATATTAGGAAAATATTTTGAATGTGCATGAACTTAAAGACAGAGCCACACCCAATTTTTGTGTCTGTGTGTCGCCTACAGACCACGTGACAGATCTTTTTCAAACTTTGCATACCTATTCTTTATTCCCTAGGGATGATCCATATTGTTTTGGGGAATGCCCGACCCCTAGGGGGCAGAACCACACCCATTTTTTCTTTGTGTGTCTGTGTGTTGCATAAAGGCCACAATTCTTAATGGATTGTCTTGCAACCTGGCAACTATTGATTTTGGTGCATGTCCCAACCCCCAAGGACAGAGCGCTCAATTGTTGTGTTTATCGTATTCAGGCCGCAATTCTGAATGTGGATCATCTTGGAACTTGGCATATGTGTTCCTTATAGCCTAAGGATGGCAACTATTGATTTTAGTCTGAAGAGGCCCCCCAGGGGCAGAGCCACACCCTTTTTTTGTTAAGTGTCTGAAGGCCACAATTCTGAATGGATTATCTTTCAACTTGGTATACTTATTCCAAGGATGGCAACTAATGATTTTTGTGCGGTGCCGCACCCACTTTTTGTTAATATTTTGTCTGTAAATAATCTACAGGTTGCAATTATTAACAGATTTGGATCCACTTTGGCATGATCCATCATAGGGTTGTACTGTACCTATTTTTACACACCTTGGGATGTTATTTCCTTTGTTCTCCCATGTTTGTTATGAAACGTATCAACCTGTTGTGACATCATCAGAGGGTGATATCTGATATCGACCCTAGGGACGATATCAGATATCACCCTCTGATGACGTCACAACAGGCTTACAGACTCTGCAGAGAAAAGGACTCAAATTCTTTCTTTTAACATTTTATTCACTTATTGTACAATGTTGTCAAACGATTCGGACGACGAACTTTACCAGGCCCATGTTACTAAGTTTCTTCATCTGACCATGTCTGAAACTCAAATTGTGGATTGTGTAGTATATCAACATCAGCTTTAAATAATTCTTTGTCAGAATCTATGTTTTCTTTTTCATCCATATTTTCTACAAACTGACTTGTGCACATCAGTTCTTCGTCCGAATCGTTTGACAACATTGCATAAAATGAATGCCAGTTTGTGAACACATGGTTACTAAAATGTAATGCACATGCAACTTACGACTTGTTTTCTTAATGTTGTCTATCAGTCGCAGGGCCAATATGGGCTAAACCATTGTCTTATAGGTGAAATCAATTAAGATAGATTTAACATTGATGTCGGTGTGTAAGACAAATATTACCCTAATACACTCGGTCGATATGTGAAATAACCCACGGTCATTTCATATATCAACCCTTGATTAGGGTAATGTTTATCTCATATTGTTCCATATCCAGCCCCCAGGCACTGAGCCATGCCCAATTTTTGTGTTTATTGTCTAAAGGCTGCAATTCTGAATGGATCATCTGAGAACTTTGCATATTTATTCCTTATACCGTAAAGACAGCAATTATTTATTTTGGTGCATGCCCCGACCTCCAGAATGTGGACGTATATTGCAGCGGTACCGATGCTTTTGCTTTACTATGAAAAAAACTGATTTTGTTAAGAACATACAGTACCTTGTTAAATCAGCATTAATATCTCCTAATAATCTTAATGTTTCTTGGGGTATATTTACACCAGATAATTTACGTATATCTATATGTAGAGTTGTTTTCTGAGCAAGGTTCATGTGGTTAAAATAAATAAACTTAAATTGAGTATCTGCATTACTGAAAAAAAAACAAGGTATATAATATTATTTAAATTGATCTTGATGGAAGGACATGTGCAACACTTAATGACCACTCCCTATTGGGCATGCTTAATAAAATAGGGGTTACAGTTGATAAGTGGTCCTGGGGTCGAAATTGGGTATTTTTCAAGCCCAGCTCCCACTTGTTAGCGGTAGCACTTCAGGGCAGACAAGTAAAGTTGTTTCAATGGGATAAAAATGTCCACCGAACCCATGTACATGTTGGCATGCACATTAAAGAACCAATGACAGTTGGAATTCGATTATGAGTCAGCATAAATACTGTTGTTCATGCACAATTCTTGCACATATGACCATAACAAAAATAACAGCATGTTAAGTCTCAAAATGACCAAAGTATTGTCTTGACAAGACAATAAACACAATTTCTTTCCTTTCATATAAAAATATTACCTGGCTGCTGATCTTTTAGGATATTGCTCTGTAATATCTGATGCTAATTTACTCATCTGTGGTCCTAAAAAACTATCAGTCTTTCTATAGAAGTCAAAATTCATGATACTATTTACTGCAATGAAAGAATAATCAATCATTGTATTTCAGAAGCAAATATAAACAACAGATCAAATTTTTCTTGAAATACTGAAAATCGAGATTTGTTTCTTATCATGGCAATGGTACTTGACAATAGACTATATCTCTTCAAACCTTCACAACTTATATACCTTTTTCATCAATCTGATTAAAATATAGATCTATATTTCGTTTCGGTTTTTTTAATACTTTCGATGGCCTCCACAACATGAAGATCAGACCGGTTACAGTGGGAGATTGTGTCAAGGGCCATACAGGCAGCTATTGACCCTATGGTGACAGTCATTCAATTAACCAATCAGCATTGGTGTTTCAAGTGTGTTTTCAGAAATACAACTTTTGCTATGATTTGTTTTATCTAACACAGAGAATATCTACCCAAAGTTCTGTGTGCTAAACGACAAGAACTTGACTCAACAGACCATCTGATTGGCTAATCCCTCACATCAATCAGAACGTGAGATATTTAACAACTTTTCCAGATCCTAGTGTAGTGAAGACAAGTAAATCGAAATTTTGAACTATAAAAAAAAAAGAAACGAAATAGGATTGCCTTTTCATTATCTATTTTTAAAACTATAATTCCAAGAACGGACAGCTATTTATCTAAATCTTACATTATGTATCTTTAATTCTTTCTAATACCAGATTTCAGAGTATGAATCACTTTATATAAACATACGTTGTTTAGTATAGAGAGAGAAACTGTACATACCATTTATCAACATACACATTGTCGCACTTAAAGCTTTGTATACCAGTAAAAAACATTCTTCATTATCTATTTCTGAATGTATAAATACCCGTGGTATTTTACCCTGGGAATCGGGATCATCCAGATTTGTCGGACCAGTCACAAATCTGTAACATATAATACATAAATAGAACTTTAAAATACAATACCTTTTGTCATGAACAGAAAACTGAAATGTACATATTGTAGAATATGAAATAGGTGAGTAAATGAATGAATGCAATCTAATTAAATTAGACCTATATTTCATTCCCACTTGAATATTTTGTAAATGTATATAGGACCTAGTTGCTTTTTTTACAGGTTATCTGTTCTCTTTCAAGTCTGATTTGAGCCCATGTGATTCAATGGCTAAACAGAGGGTCAGGTAAGTTGTACACAGACTTCTGCGACAGACTTGACCTATCCAAAATGCCTACGCATGTTAAATGAAATAAAAATTAATGTAATAAAATTTTGAATGTACAGAAAGGTTTATCATTTTTGAAGGGAATAACATTCTGGTGATTCGAAGTTTTATGTTCGAAGCTACATTATAATAATACTTCCGGTGTTCGAAGTTACAATATTTCCGGTTTTGAGAAAACTGGGTATTCCGACACTCTGCGTACTCCGACATATTGTAACGATCCTGTACGATGTCGGATGTGACAGAGTGCACTGTAATCCACAAAGGTTGTCACAGTTTTATCTTTTGGTAGGTAATGGGAGCATTTAAAAGACACAAAAAATGATCAAGAGTAACAACCCATGATGTAAATATCAGAAAATATTAAAATTTGATTGACTTCTTGTTCTTCCTAGAGTAAATTATAAGATCATAACATTAGCTGTTCAAGTTACCAGAAATCCTAGAAAATCAAAGCAAATTTTTGTCTTGTGGATATAAACATTGTGTGCAAATTCACCCTTTAGAGCATCCATAACCTTTTTCAAATTATTGAAAATCACTGAAAATCTAAAGGCTTCTTCATATCATACAGTAAAACACTGTGTATAAATTTCAATTCCATTTGGACTTACTTTCCAAAATGTCCTGAGCCTTGAGATGATGTAGAAGTTCGAGTTGTTGCTCCCTGTAATTCTTGGTCTAAATGTGTAGGAAATAAACTCGTTGTTAGATATTTATACATAGTTCTCATATCATCTTGCTCTAAACCACTCCTGTAATCACAAAACAAATGAACAGGGTTTAATTCCTCGCCAATATATTAGTCTAGCATGATTATATTTATTGACTATGACTACATGATTAATGCCAAGGACCCAATTTTTTCAAGTTGAACGTCTTGCTTTTCTGCTCCATCTAAGCCAACACCATACAGTATGCTATTATGGAAATTTTGATTGAATAGTCACACTACGCCCTTATCTTATTTTGAATTTCAACTGTCATGGGTTCTTATACATGTACACCAACATGTACACCAACATGTACACAGGACCTTGCTTTTCCATCCCAACCGCAAAGCTATAAGCTATTCCTCATTGGGTCCTCAGTCCTGCACGACTGACAAGGGGATACCACACCGGAATATATCAATCAACTTTTCGGGCAACAATGGGAACAAACCTTTGACCACCTGGTTAGTGAGCCAGAGTCTTATTCACTGAGACACCACAGTTCCCAAATACTATGTAAAGTTACACATACAAAATAACACATACCATACTAATTGATCATTATACAGGAATGCAGTATATTTGACAATAGGGAATGTAGCTTCTAATCTATTTATTAAACACTGTATTTGAAGGTACGTATTTTTGTCCAAAGGTAGGAAATAAATCCCATTAAAAACGTCTAATAAATCACTTTGATGCAGTTTTAAAGTTAACAAAAACTGCAATAGAAAATTGTGCATATTGATAAGTAAAATTTAAATGTTCTAACTAATTCTAATGCAGACAGCATATGGAATTGATGATTTTCATTGTAAAAATAAGATAATATAAGAGATAAGAGTGGCTATGAAGACTGGGTTATCCTGGGTGTCAGTGACTAGTTTCATTCGTATTGAACTCTTCAGACTGATTGGACTCACGTGGCGGGCAGTTTTATTTATACTATTCCGAAACCCAGGTGGGGTTTCCATGGTTACTAATTGGTGGGGTTACTGAGGTTGGCCTCTTGGTGGGGTTTGCGAATTTGTTACTGGGGTCGGTTGCTCGCTTTCCGGGTTGTACAGAGGTTAGAAAACTGATCGTTGAAATTGAAGTGCTAGTGTCCATAATTTTGCTAACTAGGATGCCTTTGGTTGGTTTGTAACATTGTTACTTGTCATAACAATTAAGGAATAGTATATAAATAAGGGTGTTGAGGTAACTCCAGTGAGAGGATTATATTATAAGGCTAAACATAAACCCAAAGTTGGAACATAAGACCCTTTTTATCATCAACATTTCCTTGATTAAATCAAAGAGACAATTAAATATCTTTAAAAACATCATAAAAAGGCATATTATGATCTTATAATTCTATTTTCCTGCATATATTTATGAGGGATAATAATAAATTACTGAATTTGGTGTTTTGGGGGTAAGTGACAGGACAAATGTCATGATTAACTCTTTGCTTCAAAAGATTAAGCAAAAACCAACGTCTTTACAATTCTCTGGGCTTAATAGGTCAACAGAGCCAGATCGCTATCTAAGAAAACAAATCCAAATATCAAATCTAAAGAAATTGTCAATTTTATTTATGATCCAGTCTTCCTCAATTAAAGGCAGAGTTATTGAGTTCCAAAACTGTGACAGACAGATGTCTACCTCATTTAGAAGCAGAGCAATTGTGTTCTAAGAAGACAGATGAACCCATTTTAATAGTCCTCCTTTTTTTTTTAGAAAGGCGAGGGACAAAAAGGTTTTCCCCAACTCTCTGATAGGAAACTGGGATACTAGCACAATGGTTTCATACTTCATACTTAATAAAAACAAAACAAAACAACTGTACCCTTGAGAAAAAATGATCCAATCTTTTCTTCAGTGATTCTACATCATTATTGGATCTTGCTAGTATATTTGTAAAAGTTCCATTAAATAGCTGGAATTAAACAGAAGATGAGCATTTATAGAGATTTTTCTATATTTGCACAAACGGGCAATAATGACTGATTTAGAAATAATCACTGTATCATATAATCCCCATACCCCCAATAGGTAGTCAATTTAAAACAGCTATGCTTGTGGTCTACGGGGAGATAATATGAGTTTAGGGATTTGAAACACAGTTACCTCCCCTTAGGTTTCAAAAATTAATTTTTCTCATTATTACTTATTGTTTTATAATCTTATACCATAAATATTAATATGTTTGTAGTAACTTTTATAATCTAATACCTTAAACATTTTATATGTTTGTAGTAATACTGCTTGATAAACAGAATCTTGTACATCATCATCTCTATATTCTATATATGACTGTCCATCCTTTGTTTTTTCATTGAATGGTATGGATACTGTCTATAAATAAAGTTAATAGTTTAGAAATACATGTACTCACTAAAATGATGTTAAGGAATTTAGTGTTACTATTAGCTACAAGTGATTTCATATTTTCCACTGACAGCATGTAAAATTATAAATGATTTTAATTTTTATAAATACAACATAGACAAACAAATTAGGCGAAGGATGATAGGACAATATAAGGAATTATGTGGTAAATCTTAATTTTCAATTACATTATAACATCATACAATTATTATATGGTCCTTGCTAATATTGATAGAACATGTAAAAATAAATACCATTATTATCCAGAAATCCTTTTCAGCTTCTAAAAATAATTGTCTAGTTTTTAGCATGTGCAAACTTTCACATGATTTGTCAGAAAATGTTCTGAAAAATATAAAATGTACAATGTATGTAATTAATATATTAATTAAAAGTATTAAGATGCCCTCCCACCTCCAATTATTTAACCCAATTCATGAAGAACAGAATATTTGATTGGCATGGCCTAATTATTATTGTTTACTTTCCATTAAACCTAAACTAACTATTGATATGAGATTATGGATCTATCATAATTATATCAAAATACATATTTAAATAAATTAATTTAGGACATTATTGAATACTATAAACCCACAAGAAATATATGCAATCCTCTACTGACACATCATTGCTTATACAACGGCCTTATAATTTATCATCATATGGTAACCATTGTTATGGAATAAATTACCAATTCAAATTTGCAATGTCACTGTTTTCACTACTTTTAAATTTCACTGACATGGTGTTTAGGTTCACACAAAGATTTCAACCTACTCGGAAAATTTGACAATTGCTTCACACAAGCCAATTGCTTTGATCTGTGTATCTATATCTGTGTCACCTGGGTAGAAAAACAAAGTCTTTTTTTCCTCCTGAAAAATATAAATTCCACAAAATATATCAGTTCATCATTATGTATTATAAAATTATCATATGCATCTCTTAAAATCAACTGAATTTTACACAGTGACATTTCATCGAACATTTTCTCCAATTTAAACATTATAATTGCTGATATAATATACAATTGCTGTTGACAGTAAGGCACAAAATAATCAGATCCCCAGATATATCAGAAAGTATAAATTCCACAAAATGACAGTTAACTTTGAAAACGTATCCTTATTTTGGCATGTTATTAACAGTGGGTCTACAGAGCTGATTTTGAACTTGTCGTGTAAATAAAGATCTAATCAATAATTTATATAACACCTGAAACCTAAATAAAGACTTGCAATATGATTTTCTGGTGGCGGGCTTCCCTTCTCATGCAGGTAAAAGAACCCTTGTCAGATGTAAGACTAAGACTCTTGGAGTCTTACTCTTAGTAAGAGTAGGCCGTAGTTCCGCTGTCCTGACAAAATTTCTTTTATAGCACACTGTATGGCTATGCCCATTTTCATTATCCCAGTTAGTGCAAAACATTAGGACGTTAAACCCATTTAACAGTGCAAAAATGTAGGACGTTTAACCCATTTCTTTCATTTCGACTTTAATTTCGGATTTAGGGAACTGATAATTTATAGGCCTACCTCTCCTTCCCTGGGTCCATAATTAGAATTGAAAATGAAGAAGTTCTTCAACGTTACTGATCCTCGAAGACTCATTTCACTTTAAGTTTTTTCTAACTGCATTGGTTCGTATTTTGAGAGTCGCAACGTAAAATATCTCTAAAAAGGTAAGATTTATAGAGCAATTATCATTGTTTTCCCACGCCTATCAGCCACTGTGGAAGAAATAAGAACAAATCGTAGCGCCACCTATAGACAAAGTATGGTAATAACCTGGAGTTGTCTCATCCAAAGGGCCGCAGGCAGGGCGAATTGTGTTGACTTTTTGGTGTAGAATCGAAAAAAAAGGTTTGAAAATACAATTTCTGCCAAATTGGTGAATATTCATAATTTTAAGGCGGAAGAATACAAGAGTTGAGAGGTTGGTTAGGTTGATATGTAGGGTCGAAAATTGATTTTTTTTTATCTCTACTTCCAGCCTGTGTATCTCAAGTTTTCCATGGTAAACTTCATACGTGCTTTTGGACAAGAGGTTACCACATGTTGCTCCATCTGTGGTAGAAAGCGTTCTACCCAACGAAAATTTGGGGAAAAGTTAGAGCCGATCTAAGAGACGAGAATTAACATTAAAGTCAATGGGGAAATCATTAGTGATCTGTGGCCATACGGCTAAATCTATTAGTTAAGGCCAGCTCAATTTTCGTCAAGGTCGCTGAGATGTAAATAAGGTTAGGGCACATGACTGTTGGCGAGATCGTAGGTTAGGGTGAGGGTGAGCATTAGGGCTAAATCGAGAGTTAGGATTGGGATTAGCACTAGCCTTGTTTAGATCTCGTGACCTTTGACCAAACAGCAAACTGAGCACCATAACTCTATACTATGACACATGCTCTAGAATACTAATTCTGTGGTAGGCCTATAAAGTAGGCTACTCGAGTATTCTATTTTGCAACATGCACTTACATCCGAAAAAAGAGCACCTAAATATATAGTGGGTGGATACGCGATTTTTGGAAAGAGAGAAATATTTTTTTTAACCTGTTTTTAAATTCCTGGAAATCTTACATCTTTCTCGTTCCCCAACAGTTCGAGGGAAAGTAGTATATAAATAAAATTACAATTAAACTTCCACTGTCCCGTACGGTGGCCCATATACGACTTTTAAATATTTTTTAGTTTTGGGTTTTGTTTTTTAGTTTTAAGTTTGTTTTTTTAGTTCTCACCTCGGTGATAACCTTTTCACCTCGGTGGAAACGTTTTCACCTAGGTGATAACTTATCACCTCGGTGGAAACGTTTTCACCTAGGTGAAAACCTTTTCACCTAGGTGAAAACCTTTTCACCTCGGTGGGAACTCACGTGTTACTAATAGGTCTCGTTTTCATGTGTACAAACAGGGCGGTTCCAAAGAAGAGCGCAAATTAACTACACAAAAATGACCACGGGTATGACTACATTCGGAAAAACAAGAAAAGTATGTCATTCAGCAAAAGTGACGGATCCTGCCTGAAAACAAAAGATATTTGGAATTAAAAAATACATAAAACAATTTGATTGATAAATGTTTTATGCGCTCAATATTATTTCGCTTATATGGCGATGTTGCCAGGATTATTGGGGGTGGGAGGGGGTAACCGGGATCGATGCCCGAAGTTATCACCTAGGTTAAAACGTTTCCACCGAGGTGAAAAGGTTATCACCGAGGTGATAAGTTATCACCTAGGTGAAAACTAAAAAAACAAACCTAAAACTAAAAAACAAAACCCAAAACTAAAAAATATTTAAAAGTCGTATATGGGCCACCGTAGTCCCGACAGTCCAGTAGTATTACGAGACCTGTAAAGATGGATAAATAAATGAAAATGGGGTTGAACGTCCTACTTTTCTGCACCAACTGAACCAGTGAAGACCTAGCTTACGCCATGCATTGTGCAATGAGGAAATTTTGCCCAGACAGCAGCGTTTCCGACTGCTCTTTGTCGGATTCCAACTGCCCAGGGAACTATTACGTGTACGCCAACGTCTACGCGGGACATCGGATTTTCGTAAAATCCGAACGACTAGACAACGTTCCTTGTTCCCCCCACCCCAACCCTCTGCAGCACTGACCATTAGAGGGGAAGCCTCGCTGAAAAGATCCCGAGTAAATGTTAACTATATGATCCAATACGATCCAATATATGATCCTTGAATTACTCCCACCCCCGCCACTGAATACACAGAACGGATATGATAACATCTAATTTTATTTTGATTTGTACATGTTCGTCAAAAGGGCGGGAAAATATGAAGATAACAATAACATACTGAACTACAGCGCTCACACTACCCGGGCAAAAAATCTCTTTTCCGATTTTGACAAGACACCCAGCGACTTCATTTCATTTAAAGTTACATGAATTCTAAAAAGAAATAACCTTGTCAACAACCCATGTTTGTGTCATAAATCGTGTGTCAACATTATGTGTTATACATCATGTGTCAACATTTATAATATTAAGATAGATTTGAAAGACAACAAAACTGGGTATTCTCGACTCCATGTTGACAATCTGAGGTCCTAGTCCATGGAAGCCGTTTCTAGAACAGACATCGCTCAGTGTTAATTATTTATACATGGACTTTTTAAATTCATCGAACGATATTCGAATAAAGCAATCGTAAATTCCAGAGTGTTAAGTGTGGTTTTATATAGTGGACAATCGGGTGGTCAACTTTTATCAACCCACAACAAAACAACTTAAAAGAAGCACCGTGTTTTACCGTGCGTACTCAATAAGGTTGTAAAATATATTTTATAAAACATAATCACTTTTACAGAATAAAAAAAACAAAAACAATGTTAGTCCACAGTTCAATTAACGAGTAAAATCTCTTGATGTGCGGTTCATCTTTCCAGTGGAACTTATGATCGAAGCTGTTCCACCGTGGCTCCTGGGACGAGTAGAAGCATAATATGATGACCGCCTTGACGCAACGGCCACTTGTTTATGGACATGTGCCGGTTGGCGATTTACAGAGAAATTGGGCGATCGTTCCGAAATTCTTGATGCCTTGCTTTTGGACATAACCTTTCCAATCGGACACTCATCTCGCTTACGAAGCACTAGTGGTTGTAGATTAGATGCTAAAGACAAGAATCTAGGATCGGCAGACCATGTCTTGTTGATAACTTTACCAGTGTAAGAATTGTAGTGTTCTAACTTTTTGTAGTCCACTTCCACTACTTCTGGTAGCTTGGCTAGGAAAGTTTTATCTCCTCTTGTAACTATTTCTGTCTTTTCTCGTTTAAAGGAAAGCATGGGAAGAACTGGTTTCCTGTGCGACGATGGCGATTTGTTATAGGTGGGAACCGAATAAATGGTTTCAGCATGTGGGATGGCCTGTGTGTTACTACCACGAGGCGGTGCCAGAACCGGCAGATTCCAGCTAGCTATCGTTTCTTCATCTTCTCGTTTCCACTTGTTCTGTTTCTTCTCCTGTTCTGACTCAAAACATCTTTTATTGATATCCAGATACAGCGACGTCCTCTCTCGGTGACGCCGAAGCGTCGATAGTCTTTTTCTCAGATGTTTGTTTTCGTTCACATTGTCGTACAATATGGCGTTTTTCAGTTGTGTTTTAGGCAAGCTATGGCGAACACATAAATATTGTTTTACATTGATGTTATTCGTCGAACCAGTGGAACTTTTGTCCAAGATGGTGTCGTTTTGGTTATGGTCAGTAGTCTGAAATCCTGTACCTTTTGATTTATTGTTGATTTTCATTGCTGAAACCATCTCCAATAAATATAATAATGAGATTAGTTTTACATATGAATCCAGGTTAAACACGTGAGGATCCGGTGTTAAATTACAGAATTATTAGTTCCGAACAAATGGCACTTACACAATAACGATGTACGTCCGCAAGGGTTGTTAACTTATAGAAGATATGCTGACTTTCAAGCATGGCTAGTTACGATAATGACTAGTCTCTAACGCCACGAGCCATATCAAACTTCCCAATCGTATCAAGACAAAGTTACAATTACATATAATGACAATGTATTTTTTTCCGCGGCTACCCGCCGTATACTTATTATAGATCTATGTCACAATAACATAAGATGGGCTCAGATTTCATAAAATCGTGCCAACAAATAGTTCGTCCATAAAATTTGAGTTTATTTGATTAGTTAAGATTTACTGATAATTCAAGGCATTTCTTTAAGACCTATAATATATAACACCGTCTGCTAACAATTCAAGGGGGGGGGGGGGTGTAAAAATTGGAACAATTTCAACCTTTTATTACATGTACATGTATAGTAAACACTTTAATATGATTTATTGAAAACTCGTGTCTTATTAGTTAAATCATTTGACTTGATTATACTCGTATACCTGGGCATGTCAACAGTTGGTATGGTCTGGCTGTTCAGGTTTAAATTATATTAATCACTTAGCAAATTGACATGATTAAAGAATCAATGTGTCAGAGGGCTAATTGTCATTTTACTTATTTAATTTAACAAACATAAAAACTGAAAGGCGTTCTTTAGATTGTAACCTAGATGGTTAAAGTTAAATAACAAAATTACTAGTTTACATGCCATCTTGACATCGATGTACATGGATAGAATATGAATTAGCCTCCAGTAATTCACAGATGTTCTAAGCCAGAAAATGGTTACGTAATGAAATGAAAAGGTAATGTGAACTTTCAAAGGACGTTAACGTACGCCAGGGAGGGTCGATTTTGATTATTTTTGAATCAATATGCTTTCAAATAAGTCTACTTTTAAAGACAGTCTATACAATGTACTTTACACATGAATGTTTATGCGTCCAAGGGAAATTTATTACGTAAATAAATATCTGCGAAAGTGAAACAGGCCTACGGGAAAGCATGAACTATTGAGTTAAGAAAAGCATGATTGCGAAAATATCACCAGATGAATGCCGTAAAGGACCGTCAACGTTCTGGTCGACGCTGCAGTACGTCTGCAAGAGAATATGTAGTTGTTTTGAGACTCGTGTGACGTTATCTTTTTTGCGCCAAGCCCTATGTTAAAGGAATGGTGGTGCCGAGCTAGCCATCAATAAAACGTCAATAAAAGGATATATTACAGGTATCGCACTATCCATACATAACTATAAGCTTCTACTGGTGACAGAAGTAATAACAATGGCCAACGGTACGATAAGACATATCCTGGACAACCATCCCTTTCTCACAAGGCCAATCGTTATGGATGACAACGCTAGACTAAGATTACACCGTTGTTGATTTTCTGCGTCAGGAGGCCGTTGCTAAACTACCTTGGCCAGCCGGAAGCAATAAACTGAATCCAATTGAACATATCTTATCTGGGCCATTCTGCGCGAGGGGTACACGATTGCAGAATCTGGAGGATTTGGATAAGGCACTACACCAGGAATTGGAAAGACTAACAAAGGCTCAGACCCAATAGGCGATCCAGGCTGGTGGTGGCTACACCAGATATTAACCCATTTCACTATTTTAACCGGCCACACACTGATTCAAATAAATTTATGTAGTTAACGTTTTTGTTACGTACTACCTGCAAATTAGAAATAGAAACCGCATACTACCAAACATGCAAGGAACAACTAAATAACACCTCGAATGGGTAATAAATTTAAAAAAAAGAGTCACATGATTTAAAAATGTTGTTGTTTATACAATAACGTCCTTCGGATATCAATAAGATGTTCATCGGTTTTAGAGGCCCAAGAAACTTCGATGGGAGTTGCCAATCACATGATACTGGTGCTTTTAAATATGATTGATCTAACGCAGTCTTGTTTAGGTAAAGATAAACAATAACCAAACACTTCTTTAGCGTTTATTGTCACAGCACATTGTCCCTTTATTGGTTTCTTCTGTCCGTGGTTCATAATCAGAATCATTGAGGTCATCAAGAGATGCAGGGTTATGGTCAGATAAAGAGTGGCCATTTATGATTCGTTGGAATATAGACACATTTTGTGAGTTAGTCATGTGGTAATGTAGATTAGCTTTTGGGGTGGAGCAATTAGATTTCTGGCTGGTGTACCCCACCACTGAAAAAGTCTGACCATTTTATTCTTATCCTGAGTACTTTGCAACAAGTTTCGTGCTTTGAGTAAATTGACTCATCTGGCTGAGCCTTTGGTGTGGGGCAATTAGGAACGTCTGGATGGGACGACAGGAAGACTTGCCCAATACTACTCAATTTAATTGAAGTATTATGTTTGTGTTTCACAATAAAGCGATAGTATTTAGTGGTATTTAATTTAGGTAGTATTGGGTAAATCGTCCTACCCGGCGGGGATACATCACCACTAAAAATGTTATGGTGGTCGTCATTCTTGATACACGTTTTGAAACACGTTTCGTGTGGTTATATATATAGTAAATGAACTAGTGGGCAAGTTTACCCCACCACCGAAAATATCTGACAGTTGCCACTGTTGATGCATGTAAAGATGCTAAACACTATGCAACAAATTTTATGTAGATAGTAAATGCGATGATCTAGCTTAGCTTTTGTGGGTGGGGCAATTATGAACGTCTTGACAATTAGAATTTACTCAAATCTGACGATATTGATTTTGTCTTGGTCTGATAGCAGAAAACCATTTGTGATGCACAAATATGTTCTCAGCATACCAAAAAATGTGACGAAAAGGGAGAAATGTTTCCACAAATTTGGATCTTAGGTGTCTGTAACTGTTTTTGCCAAAGCCGTCAACTTATAAATAGGTCAAATGAATGATTATGGATTTCCTTGTCTGCGATATCACCTGGACGCTAAGCCCCACGAACGAACAATTATGGATCTCTTATATAGATTGTCAGTTATGGAGTTAGCTTTATATCCAATTTTCTTTAACATACACATTAAAAAATATTATATCAATATTTAAACATGCAATAAATAAACAAGTTTGATACGGGTATAACTGTATTAGATAAACTTGTGTTGTGTTACACCATGTGGTACATATTTAATACTGACCGTAATGAGATCTGGTACAACAGTAAATATTTTATTGCGTGTTTTGTTGTAGAAAGGTCCACTGATCTTATCTGTTTAGTTCTAGAGAATTGTTTTTATCGATCTATAATCTGGTGAAAAGTGTAAATACAGACACGATTCTGAAGGTTTTGACTATGGTGTGTCTTATTATATTCAATGTAAGAGCAGACCATATAATATACTTGTAATATGAATATGCCTCCGCCTCACCGGCCTACATATATTTTTATATATATAGCAAGCACAAGAATGGGTTATTTGTTTAATAGACTACCTCTGATGTTAAGGTTTCAGGGAAAGTTGGAAACAATATGGACACATTTTAATATTTTCAAAATCAGCTAACATTATACAAGCTTATTTGAATGTTGTTATCGCAGCCATAAAAAGATTTCGTGCATCAAACCGCGGCACAGTGTTATATGTATGATGGCATAGTATATTCGCACAATGTTGTTGCTTTTGGTATATCGGTACCAGGCATTAACAGTATAAAGTTGCACATTTTCTTAGAACCACGTTGGTAAAAGCAACACAGTACAAATTCTAATGATTGTCTCATGATTCTATGCAAGCTGTGCCAACCACAGGGTTGTCTTCATTCTGGTACTCTCACTTTAAATAATAACATTTGGTTGAAGCAGCTATTTGCAACAAAACTAGTCTATTATCACTAAAAGTCAATGACACGCAATTGTAATTATGACTAAAAGGGTAATCACGATTTTAATTTTAACTTTCTAGGTGTGAAGCCATGGCCCTTTGGACTGTTCTGCAGCAAAATGTCAGTTTTGTGTTTCCATATATTCATTGGCTTTATTGAAAACCTTTGAGGCATTTTCTCAAATAGTTTTGGTCTTGTATCTAGCGACTTGTGGAGTCTGAAAGGATATGAAAGTGAAGATTTAGAGGATTGTAAGAATTGCCTATCAATATTTGGCAATTCCACCTCATGATTAGAGTCTCTGGTTTTCAGAGCAGACCTTCCCGTAAGTAATAATGGTGTCCTTGGTTCCTGACATTTCTCAGAACCACCTTCGTCCAGAGTAGGTAATTCACAATAAAATGTTTTGTTCAAATTATTCAAGCTATGGAAACGTCTTATTCTTTTCCGCGTATCCACATAGGTATTGAGGGATTCGTTGAATCTTCCTTTAAACTCTAATCCAAAGTCATTGAGCGTCAAGCGGATCTTTGGTACGAACGTTGTTGCCATCCTCGATGAATATTTCTCATGTCGGCTATCGTCAGCTTCCTGTAACGTATGAAATGTTTTCTCCTTAAAAAACTCTCGATCATCGTTGATCGCATCACTAAATCGGAACACTCTGTTTGTAGCCGGTGCTGATGTAGTATCACTCCATTGTAATTCTGGCAATTCCATATTTGAACCGAGAAACCACACGATTTACAGAATCTTCACTACTGAAGGTGGAGGATTGTCCAAATTAATACAAGGACTTTAAATCCAACACGAAATTCATAGTTGATTATTTAACTAAGGTATCCAGCGTTTTTACACACGTGATTAAACAATGATATAGCCCAACACTGTGCTATTATTCATACCTATTTCAAGCACCTGTCATATCTATGTTTACCATGGTGTCATATCTATGTTTACCATGGTGTCACACATTGTTTTACAGCCTAGCTGGCGTGAGTATTGTGGCTGATTGTATTTCATAGCCCCATGTTGGCAACAGACGACCCCACGTGCCGACAATATTGACTAATTCGTGACACGTTCGTTTAATCGGTAGTTCAATTTAAGATCGACGCTATGAAATCCTGATAACCACCAATGTAAGTAAGGTTCTTAGAAAACTACAGATATACATCACAACTTAATATTATTAATTAAACTGGCGCATTTTGAAGACCCGAGATTTAAGAATAATTTGATTGCAAGATGCTTCATTATTTTCTACCAACAATTTTTTAGTCTTACATAAAGTCACCATAACCCCAAAACTGTTTGAGAAAATGTAGTATTACGAGAATCGTAAAAACAGGTATATAAAGAATAGAGATATTGCAAGTTTATACAGAATTGACAAATAGATTTACGAGGACAATAATATATTGATAGAGTACTGTATTGACGCGTCATTAAGCATACGAATCATAGTGCTATGATTTGCCCATAAAGATAAATGATGTCCGTGCATGGGTTTCGAACATAAATGAAGACGATAACAGAAGATGATATCAAATTTAACAACAAATTACAGAATTTTTTATTTTAAACAAAACATCTTAATGTTAATATTGGCACAAAATAATGCCCATGAAATTAATTATTTACACTTATGTACAAAAATGTAAAATATGGGATATAGAATTAATACAATTTTCTTAATACCTCCTGTTGGGTGGTCGAATGGTTTAAAACCCTGTACACCCTGCCAACATTTTCGGTAACATGTTGACCAGATGCGACGTTGCTGAAAAGTTGATAGTCTATACAGTTCAGAAACATTCGGTGACATTCGACAACATGTTGCCCAAATGTTGTCGAAAAATATACTAGATGAATTTCGTTGCCCAGATGCTAATGATGTTCCGAGTTTTATCCAATCAGAAATGGGCCATAAATCACATGATGTAGACAACATGGCAGCTACCAGCAGGGAATTGTTGTTAATTTGCCCAACATGTTGTCGAATTGTTGCCGTGTGTATACAGGGCTAAATTTTTGTTGCACAGGTGTGTTGCCGAGATGTTTCCGAAAATGTTACCGAAAATGTTGGCAGTTTATACAGAGCTTTAGGCGTCTGCTTTAGATCATAAGTGGGCGTTAATCAATATCCCTCTCTCTTCTCCAACAAGTTACAATAGGATATATAAATATCTACACAATTTGAAAAATACAACTATAAAAACATTTGTAATATAATTGGCTTGGGAAAAAGGATTTTAACCCAAACATCACTGACATATCACAACTAAAATTAAAATCTGAATTAATTAAATATCGATTTGTATAGTCTGCAGGATTAACACAAACAATTATTTTTATGTAGAAAATCTATCTTGTTAACATTCATCCAGTGAATATGGTATGTTGCTTGTCACCTTCAATAAAGGATTCTTTTGCATAGCTTATATACCGGATTTTGTGCTGTCTATTATCATCAAGTATTATCTTCTTTTTGAACTGATCCTTCACGAAAGAAATCGGAAGAGGGTTTGATTACCATCCTTAATCCATGGTTTCGTTAATATTATTGACATGGAAAAACGTTTATAAGAATAAACAGAATAAAAAGGACTGAAATAATGCTGGAATAATCATTATGTACAGCGTACGGTTTATGCACAGTGTAGCTGAAAAGACAAATAATAAATATGCATCAATTAAGTCGGATACTAAATTAGTGATAATATATAAATTCTTATAAAATTCTCAGAAAGAAGTATTATAACCGTGGAAATTTAAAAAAATTACCTGTAGAGACATTGTATTCTTAGGCAAGTAATGATCACATCAAAGGTTGTTTCAAAATGACGCCCCTTTAACCGTATCAGCAGATCCATATTGTACTGATACATTTAGTTGAGTAGTTAGCTGTAAGTAACACAATTATTATCTAATACATCAATCAATTCTACAAAGTTCTTTTTAACACCCAAAGCTGGCTTGTTCCGACTATATAACTAGCTAAAAGCGCAACCCATTGATGTTTTGGAATGATTTACTAAAGATTACTAGGAATACAATTATTCTTTTATCCTCTAAGGAGTGGTTAGTCCAGCGAAATCAAAATACTTCACAAGTGTTATATAATCTTTAAGAGGCATTTAGTAACTGGGTAGAGCAATACACAAAAAACACATACTTATGGAAAAACAGCTACTTATTTATTTGGGCGACGTTTCGAAGAGTATTCTCTCAACGTTATCAAGCTAATGATAACGTTGATAACGTTGAGAGAATACTCTTCGAAACGTCGCCCAAATAAATAAGTAGCTGTTTTTCCATAAGTATGTGTTTTTTGTGTAAGTGTTATATAGTGCACACCTATCCGAGAATAATTTGTATAAGCTTAATTTTCCCTTTGCCGACCTTTTCGTTATATTTTCAAAAAACCGTAGCTTTAATAATCACTAACCTGTTTAAATTTGGCCCTGATGGTTTCCAGCTCTTCAAATAATGTCTGGTTTAAAGCATCTTCCAATGCAAAATTTTCGATCATTGTATTTAAAGAATCCATCGTTTTCTTCGTCCTAAAATAGGCATCGTACAGTAATTAATTTATATAGAGAGTTCTAATACACCCAATAGGTATTATTGCCACCTAGTAATATAAAAAAAACTATTGTTTTCGCGTTTTTGGAAAAAGTACATATTCTACAGAATTAAACTCAATACTATCCGAAAACTATTAAGTTCAAAACAGGCCCTGCGGAACGGTGGTGGTGGTGGTGGTGGTGGTGGTGAGGGGGGGGTGGTGAGGGGGGGGGGTTACTCCTTTCTCCAGGATATTGCATGCAAGTATTTATGCGGTTAGATATAAGGCCTGATTCCTAACATAGAAGTGAGACTTCTAGTAGTACGTCGACTTTCAGAAGAAAACCCTGCTATGCTCTATACTGATCCCTGGTTTGAGGGACCCCCAGTTGCGAGGGTCACGATTAGTTAACTGAACAGTCGATTCAACCTCATCTCACTCCCATTGTATCTATGACAGATTAGGTAATTAAAAAATGAAGTGATATAGTTTTTCTCACTCTCTTTTCCTGTGTCCCTCATCCATCAAATTTTTTTTTATTATTGAAATAAACGGTATATTTATATACATAACTATCCTATAAACAGTATTACGCAGTAAAAAGACACACCACGCCACACTAACACCACCCCCTACCAACCACAGAGAATAGGTGAAAATAAAAATCACCTCGTCATACCCCACAGGAAGAATAAAGACATGTATTTTGTATTTTAGATTCCTTCGATTTGTAGTTCTTCTTTCGTTCCCGCGCGCTTTATCAAAATATCTGTTTTCCTTATTATATTGTTGTCCTCTATAAGAAAGTGGGCGAAATTTGTCCTATAGACAAATACCCAAAACGTGCTGTTCTTCGAAAGTCTGCAGTGTAGTTCCTAATTGGAGCCGACGGTTTAAACATTTTTAAGTTTGTCGTCAACGGCGTCAACGGAGAAACCCCACGAGGTTGGACAGGCGATCCTACTCCTTTTCACGTACAACCGGGGAATCGACACCACGACAGTTGACTCGATGACGTACGTGGCTTTTTTTTTTCGCACGTATACAGTGAATGGCCATTTTGCTCAGTAATCCCAGCCAGAATTTGGCTATTTTTTTAAAATTGCGTTAGAGTTTTAAATTTTTGTTTAGAACTGAAATAAATTAACTTTTAGTCAATCCCCACGCTAATAACATGAACAGAATTGATTGTGTATATCTGAAATAGACACGACCGAAGCACAAAATAGTGCTAATATGCCAACGTCAAATGTAGAGTTGTAGATGGTGTTATTTTTGTGAAAAATCATTGGAAGAAGCGATAGGACGTTCTGTACGGATTATACAGTCCTAAAGGCTGCAAGAAGGCTATTGTTTACAATGTAACATTGTGTCTTGTAATGTTGATAATGATCATAATGATGGTGTTTACATTTGTTTGTTGATATGACCTCATGACCTGTGACGTTTAGATAACGTCATATGGTTATCATGGCTATTCACTGTGTCAGAGTCACTTCTCTGCAGGTAGGGTGAGTCTGTCGTTCAGATTGACTTGATGACAGAGCTTTTGATACAACGCGCACGCGCTAACGATTCGGCCATCCACCCCCAACCAGGTGCAGATTAGAGAGTCTGGCAAGGTACAATTTTTAATCGTTCAGATGGGACAAAAGGGAATGGTGGTTTACAGTTCACTCAAAATAAAATGGAAGGAACGCTTACCTGGGTTTGCTCAATCCTACTTCTTTTTCTAAGATTCGTCTGAGCTCTAATGCATAGCCATGATAAAAGCCAAGCTGCAATTTTGAAACGAATGAAATAATCAAGACGTAACGTATACATTAAATATATAATGAGAAAAATCTGTCAGTGGATTGCACGGATATCGAAGTGATCTGATTCGATTTATAAGTCGTACAAAATGATACGTCTGCGCAAAAAAAAATGATCTGGGTTTATTTTGAATATCATTTTATATATCGTTTAATGTCATAACCATGCACCTTTAAGCATATAATTTCGGTTTTACGACGGATTCTATCAAATTCTGTAATTTACCGTTGGATTGAAAAAAATAAGTTCTGAAATAAACGGCTTCTATATTCATTCAAAACAGATTTATTATTCTCAATGTAGGCCAAGGTTTAATTCAAGAGTAAATTCTATGACAAGAAAAATTCATGGATTTATCCTCCATTAAACAGTACAAAAAGTGAAAATTAAATATCTACATTTTGTACAAACCTCCGAACCTATGTTTCCACCCTTCTCGATTCCTAACATACAACCTTCTGACTTACCAGATTCACATCCAGCAAGAAAACCTTCTTCATAGCCAGTTCTGTAAAATACAAGAACATAAAAAAAAATCTTACTGCACTGAACCCTATTTGTAATACATGAGTATAAAAATTGTGCCGTATGCTGTTCAGTTAAAATATTAATACTCATAATGCTGTAATAAGCATTGCGCCTCCCTGATTCTAGTCTACTCTGTACAGCATTGGATAGACCGTTTGCATGACCGAAAAAAACAATTAAACAAATGATGTGATTGCACCCACCGTCACACCCGTTCACGTATATCTCAATTATTGTAATGTAAATCTGTAGCTATTGTGCAATTAAAGCATAGCTGAAATGAAATATGAAATGGGGTTTAAGCTTCTACTATTCTGTTCCGAAATGGGCTAATGAAGACGGGCATACAGTGTGCTATGAAGTATGAGGGAAATTTCGCCCGGACAGCGGCACTACGGCCTACTCTTATACATGGGGGAACCACGGGAAACCACGCCAGAAAATCCGGATGAACTTTCTCGGCCAATGCAGGAATCGAACACCCGACCTCCAGGTTAGTGAGCCAGCGTTTTAACTACTTAGCCACCGTGATCCCCTTAAAACAATGTAAACTTGAAATAGCCATAACTTAATAGAGAATTGGCCGAATTAAATAAATTTTGGCCCACAATTGTCTTAAAAAAGTAGGGGGCCTACTGTTGACAATATATTTTTTTAAACTTTTATACTGGCTTGTCAGTATAACAGGTTCGCACTTTACCTGGGGCCTTACAAGATTCGTTCAAAAACCGTAGTTTGAAGGGTACCTGTTGTGAGACTGAATAACCAGGTCTACGTCTACGAATTCGGCAGTCAAACAAAACCAGATTGGCTCAACAATAAACAGTAGTTTTGACGGAATCGTTGAAAATAACATTTTGTCGGTTGTCATAAGGTATTATTGTGTTTGATATCTTGATTAACCATACCATATATACATAGGTCTACTGACATAAGATAAATATAATATGTTTATTTACCTTTCTCGTTTGATGGAGGCGGCCATGATTACAAGGGAGGTAACTCTATTATAGGTATTAGGATTTAGACGACCGCATTTGGGGGAAAGTTACCTGTTCCAGAAAGCAAATTACCTTTATTTACTAAAATCTAGAATAACCCATTAGAATATTCTTTGTGCATAATTAATGTGATTTGATTAAATTGTTACATAGCACTATTGGGGTTCTTTTGGTCATATGACACTGGCTCCCTAATCAAGTGGCCGCTTGGAATTGTTCAGCGTTTGCAAGGCACAGCCTCTAGTCGTTTGGATATGACGTTGGGCATGTCCAAGTCTCCCTCATAGCACACTGCTCGATATCATTATCCCCGTCGCCCCAGATTGCCCAATTGTCCCAATTTAGGTCAACAATGTGTAGCGTAGCAAAACAAAATGAATTAGGTTATTACGCATTCTCTTTAGATTTACCTTTCTTTTTATGGATTGTACTTATCGAAATGTCAATAAAAATATGTTGTGTTTGTTACGTACGTTATTTATATTATAGGGGATATGGAATTGACTTTGAACGCCCACACTGGTTTAGCGAAACCTGGCAGTTCAGTTGCTTTGGTTTCTGGAACTTATAAGTATTATCACTATGGTTGTGATAATACACAGGACCAGGTAAGCGGTAGATGTTTATTTTTAAAAAGAATTGGAACCGTTACATGAATTTACCACCCCGGCAAATAGTAATGCGGCCAAGTTCGATTCAACATAACCCTTACAAATTGATTGGGTTATATGTGTTTCTTGTAGGGATGGGGTTGTGGATACAGAACATTACAGACAATTTGTTCTTGGATAGAACACGAAAAACAACAAAAAGAATGCCCGCCAAGTGTTCCTTCCTTGATGCAGATACAAGAAGCTTTAGTTACCATGGGTGATAAAAGGCCACCATTTAAAGGTTCTAAAGAATGGATAGGAAGTTTTGAAGTGTGTTTATGTGTTGACTATTTTTACCAGGTAGGTGCTATCATACTCTATATCTGATACCGAATTGGTGAAATGTACCAGCAACCAGACCTAGCATGATAAAGCGCTAATTAGGGTTTCACACTGCGTAGCCAGTGTGAAACACTATTGTTTTTGTTCGGATTATTATTCTTATTATTATTATTTTTCCATTTGAGCATATCTCAGAAACTACTTGTCGGATCGATTCGATGTCTTCGGTTTTACTGGGAAAGTGGGTTTGACTTAAATTTTAAAGCTATTTCCAACGTTCTGCGACAATGCGAAATGTCCGAAATCACCGGAGTTGTCGTTTTTCGATATTTTGCCGTAATGTTATCAATAATTGTCGGATTGTAATATTTGATACATTTTGACATAGCCAGAGACAAGGCACATAGCTACGGTTCTTTGGATTTTTTTATTTTCGACGAATCTTCGGAGATATTAGGCGCAAAATTTTACGAAAAACTTTTTTATTAATGAATATTTTTATGTGGTATTTTAATAAGGGTTAAAGGGTCATCTGATTTTTCCTTGGCCCCCATTGGCTAATTCAGTTTTTCAGTCCTGGATTAATTATTTATTGTTCGATTTGTATAAAACAAAGTTCATATGTTCCGGTGTCCAAAATGTCATTTTTGTTTTGTTACCGGTACATTTTCCTTTCGGCAACGGAAGTAACATAAATTTAGCAAAAACTGCAATTTTGAGAGTTCGGTACCACTTTTTGAAAGCAAATATTATTTTTTTCAAATCTGGTATGACTGAAAGGGTTTGCCCTGTTAATGCGCAGAAATCATCGCGCTCAGTTTTTTTAATTTTTATTTCGTTTTCGGATCATTTCGATTTAAAGGCGAAAAAAGGTGAAAAAATGAGCTATTCACAACCCATTCAGGCTTTTCATATTTTAAATTATTTCTTCGCAACTTTCATAAACTAGTAGCAATAATCCAAACGAAGAGAATGTATGTGAAAATTAATTTGTAATATGAACAGTTGCCGAGAAATGGGCAATTTTGTATGAGTCACTTTTTACGCTAGTTTGCCTGTATCAGAGTCAATTATTATTCGATTTTCATAAAAGTGACACCATTTGATGCGTAATGTCAATTTTAACAAGGTCAAACCAATTTAACATTTTCAATGTCACCGGAAATGACGTAATTTGGGCAAAATTTGTATTTATAACCTTCAAAACCAGTAATTTATTCAAATGTGTCTTGTTTGTTATTTGTTTAAAATTTTGATATTGATTCCAATCAACTTATAGAATGAACCCATACGATCTCGGTTGCGGAGAAATAGACGATTTTCAACAGGTAACTTTTCAAGGTTTTTCATAAAATTCCCCGTCTGTGATACCTAATGCCATTTACGATTTCATACAAGTAATTTAACACTTTTACTGTTACCGGAAGTAACGTCATTGTGGCAAAAACTGTATTTTTAGCCTTCAAAACAGATATTTTATTCAAATGAGTCTGATTTGTATTGTTTTTAAAATTATGATATTTGATTCCAATCAGCAAATAGATTGAACCCACACGATCATACAAATACCAAAAAAAGGGTTCTAACTTGTACGGTTGCAGAGAAATAGACGATTTTCTACAAGTCACTTTTCAAGGATTTTGGTCTATAAAAGTGGCAAATATTATTCGATTTACATGGCATTATTAAGTGCTAATATAATGAAAACAAATCAACCCATCAATACTATCAAGAAAACAATATTATGTTTTATGTAGTAGTAAGTACAAATTATGTAGAATTAATAAGATTGAAGAATTTCATACACTGCGATTGCACATTGTAACATGATATATCCTTGGCATTATTTAGTGCTAATAAATATAGCATAAATCAACACATAAATAATACCAAGAACACAACCATAGTCAGCAGACCGAGACACACATCATGCTATACATAGTAGCGCATAACTGAGAATCGCTAAGGAACTTTTTTATCAGTTACAAAGTAATACCTATTTACCTGACATGATAAGTGCTAATATTTAAATAAAACAACGCAAGTAAATATAAATATTCGGAGTTTTATATACAATTTTCTGTTATTAGTGGGAACCATAAAAGTTCTAGCAACAAAAATACTAGTGCATCTATCAATTTACAAACAATACTTGACATATGTGAGTAGTTCACTCACATCTGGTGTGGTGGTTACCATATCCCTCATGTATCAGCATTTATCTCTGATAGTTTGTAGTATATCACCATCACAGAACAATACTGACACAATACTATTACCGATACAAAAATACTAGTGCCAGGCGCAAATCCGGGGTGGGGGGCGCACTTGGTTGATTGCCCGTCAGTCCGCACACCGAGGGCCGGCTTCGCACTCCCAAGTGGGGACAGCACGCCCCCCCCCCTCTTCTGAAAATCCTGGATCCACCCCTGAGTGTATCTATCAATTTACAAACATATTTGAGTAGTTCAACTCCCATGTATAAGCATTTATCTGTGATAGTTTGTATTATCACACCTTCACAAATCAATGCGAATGCACGAAATATTTTGTACTTGTAAATCATAGTCATAGTATGTCGTGTGTCGGAATATTGTTATATTCGTCACATTATTTCGTGCTAGTATAATGAGACCCAATCAACACAAAATTAAATATTGTTCTATTCACATACAGTTGGGGCGAGCGTCATACACGAGACAGGGCATACCTATCTATCATGGCACACCCAAGCTAACAATCTACATATAGAATAAGTAGGCTAACTAGGTATATCCTTGGCATTTATTAGTGCTAACAGTATTAAAATCAGCAACCAAAAAATAGCAAGTACACACATAGTTTGACTCGTACGTAACTAGCTTTTTTTTCGCACGTATACAGTGAATGGCCATTTTGCTCAGTAATCCCAGCCAGAATTTGGCTATTTTTTTAAAATTGCGTTAAAGTTTTAAATTTTTGTTTAGAACTGAAATAAATTAACTTTTAGTCAATCCCCACGCTAAAAACATTAACAGAATTGATATATCTGTATATATCTGAAATAGACACGACCGAAGCACAAAATAGTGCCAATATGCCGAAGGTGTATAGATGATGTTATTTTTGTGAAAAATCATTTGAAGAAGCGGTAAGACGTTCTGTACGGATTATACAGTCCTAAAGGCTGCAAGAAGGCTATTATTTACAATGTAACATTGTGTCTTGTAATATTGATAATGATCATAATGATGGTGTTTACATTTGTTTGTTGATGTGACCTCATGACCTGTGACGTTTAAATAAAGTCATATGGATATCATGGCTATTCACTGTGTCAGAGTCACTTCTTTGTTTGTTGATGTGACCTCATGACCTGTGACGTTTAGATAAAGTCATATGGATATCATGGCTATTCACTGTGTCAGAGTCACTTCTCTGCAGGTAGGGTGAGTCTGTCGTTCAGATTGAGTTTGACTGAAACTTCATGTACTGGTCATTACATTTCCCATACCCTAGGTGTAGCTATCTGTCATTAGCACGTAATTTATGTGAGCTAAAAATACTATTGCAAAATACTAGACATGGATCGGCATTTATCTGTGATAGTTTTGTAGCATCACACCTTCACAAAACAATACTGACGGACGACTTGTACGATGCTGATACATAATATACACGGTTCAATTTGTGGGCTATAATACCTTTTTTGTAAAAGCATTTTTGAGCATTCGTCCGTGATAGTTTGTAAAATAATGATGCATATATTGCAAGCTTGTATCAGCATTTATCTGTGATAGTTTGTAGTCTTACAAATTCACAAAACAATACTGACACAGGACCAGTTGGATAGAGTATATCTCCACATGCGAGGTTGTGTGTACATTTAAACTGACACACGATCGTTGTGTGAACTGAAATATTAGCGCAAACTTTTGCGGCTTAACATTTATCATCATTATCATAAAAAATGACTTCGTGAAAGGTAGATTCAACTCTCATTATCAGCATTTATCTGTGATAGTATTTTTTTTTTAATATTACATGTCCACAGGATACACGAATGGTACAATCAGGTTTAGTCTATCATAACAATACAGCATTCTTGGCATTATTTAGTGCTAATATAGCGAAAACAAAATCAGCCCATAAAAAATATCAAGAAAACAATATTTTGTTTTATGTAGTAGTAAATACAGATTATGTAGAATTAATAAGATTGAAGAATTTCATACACTGCCTTTGCACATTGTAACATGATATATCCTTGGCATTATTTAGTGCTAATAAATATAACATAAATCAACACATAAATAATACCAAGAACACAACCATAGTCAGCAGACTAATAACGAGACACACATAAAGTAGCACATAACAGAGAATCGCTAAGGAACTTTTTATCAGTTACAAAGTAATACCTATTTACTTGGCATGATAAAGTGCTAATATTTAAAAAATAATCAACATCAAAACAATGCAAGTAAATATAAATATTGGGAGTTTTATATCAATTGTTTGTTATTAGTGCGAACAGTGCTAAATTCAACATTCGCGAACCATACAAGTTCAGGACGATTGCTACATGACGATTCCCACTATTGGGACGAAAATCCGAGCACCCATGTATACATTGGCGTGCACGTAAAAGATCCCTTGGCAGTTGGAGTAGGCCATAGTGCCGCTGCCCGGGCAAATATTCCCACATAGCACACTATGCCCGTCTTCATTAGCCCAGCCGGAGTAGAACAGTAGGACGTTAAACCCCATTTCATTCTAACACGATACATCCTTGGCATTATTTAGTGCTAATAACTATAGAATAAATCAACACAAGAATGCAATCATAATTACATAAATCAACAGAATTTGTCCTTGACCAACAACCATTTGACAGCAGTAGGCCAATACTGAGACACACGCCATGATATACATAAAGTATCACATAACTGATATGTGTAAGGAATCCGTTTATTTAAAAATAATCAGCATCAAACCCCGAAATGACCCAGTTTATGTCGAGTGGACGTTAAACCCCC